CATTGTAGTAATAGAAGATGCTATATGTTGTTATTGTAGCAATAGAAGTTGCTTTATGTTGCCGTTGTAGCAATAGAAGTTGCTTTATGTTGCTATTGTAGCAATAGAAGTTGCTTTAAGTTGCTGTTGCAGTAACATTGCTGTTGTAGTAATAGAAGTTGCTATATGTTGCTATTGTAGCAATAGAAGTTGCTTTATGTTGCTATTGTAGCAATAGAAGTTGCTTTATGTTGCTATTGTAGCAATAGAAGTTGATATATGTTGCTGTTGTAGCAATAGAAGCTGCTTTATGTTGCTATTGTAGCAATAGAAGTTGCGTTATGTTGCTGTTGTAGTAATAGAAGTTGCTACATGTTGCTATTGTAGCAATAGAAGTTGCTTTATGTTGCTATTGTAGCAATAGAAGTTGCTATATGTTGCTGTTGTAGCAATAGAAGCTGCTTTATGTTGCTATTGTAGCAATAGAAGTTGCTTTATGTTGCCATTGTAGTAATAGAAGTTGCTATATGTTGCTATTGTAGCAATAGAAGTTGCTTTATGTTGCTATTGTAGCAATAGAAGCTGCTATATGTTGCTGTTGTAGCAATAGAAGTTGCTATATGTTGCTGTTGTAGTAATAGAAGTTGCTATATGTTGCTATTGTAGCAATAGAAGTTGCTTTATGTTGCTATTGTAGCAATAGAAGTTGCTTTATGTTGCTGTTGTAGCTAATAGAAGTTGCTTTATGTTGCCATTGTAGCAATAGAAGTTGCTTTATGTTGCTGTTGTAGCAATAGAAGTTGCTTTATGTTGCTATTGTAGCAATAGAAGTTGCTATATGTTGCTATTGTAGCAATAGAAGTTGCTTTATGTTGCCATTGTAGCAATAGAAGTTGCTTTATGTTGCCATTGTAGCAATAGAAGTTGCTTTATGTTGCCATTGTAGCAATAGAAGTTGCTTTATGTTGCTATTGTAGTAATAGAAGTTGCTTTATGTTGCCGTTGTAGTAATAGAAGAAGTTGCTATTGTAGCAATAGAAGTTGCTTTATGTTATGTTGCTATTGTAGCAATAGAAGCTGCTTTATGTTGCCATTGTAGCAATAGAAGTTGCTTTATGTTGCTGTTGTAGCAATAGAAGTTGCTTTATGTTGCCATTGTAGCAATAGAAGTTGCTTTATGTTGCTATTGTAGCAATAGAAGTTGCTTTATGTTGCCATTGTAGCAATAGAAGTTGCTATATGTTGCTATTGTAGCAATAGAAGTTGCTTTATGTTGCTATTGTAGCAATAGAAGTTGCTATATGTTGCTGTTGTAGCAATAGAAGTTGCTTTATGTTGCTATTGTAGCAATAGAAGTTGCTTTATGTTGCTGTTGTAGTAATAGAAGTTGCTATATGTTGCTATTGTAGCAATAGAAGGTGCTATATGTTGCTATTGTAGCAATAGAAGTTGCTTTATGTTGCCATTGTAGTAATAGAAGCTGCTATATGTTGCTATTGTAGCAATAGAAGTTGCTTTATGTTGCTATTGTAGCAATAGAAGTTGCTATATGTTGCTGTTGTAGCAATAGAAGTTGCTTTATGTTGCTATTGTAGCAATAGAAGTTGCTTTAAGTTTATGTTGCAGTAACATAGCTGTTGTAGTAATAGAAGTTGCTTTATGTTGCTATTGTAGCAATAGAAGTTGCTTTATGTTGCCATTGTAGTAATAGAAGTTGCTATATGTTGCTATTGTAGCAATAGAAGTTGCTTTATGTTGCTATTGTAGCAATAGAAGTTGCCATATGTTGCTGTTGTAGTAATAGAAGTTGCTATATGTTGCTATTGTAGCAATAGAAGTTGCTATATGTTGCTATTGTAGCAATAGAAGTTGCTTTATGTTGCTGTTGTAGCAATAGAAGCTGCTTTATGTTGCCATTGTAGCAATAGAAGTTGCTTTATGTTGCTGTTGTAGCAATAGAAGCTGCTTTATGTTGCTATTGTAGCAATAGAAGTTGCTTATATGTTGCTATTGTAGCAATAGAAGTTGCTTTATGTTGCCATTGTAGCAATAGAAGTTGCTTTATGTTGCCATTGTAGTAATAGAAGTTGCTTTATGTTGCTATTGTAGCAATAGAAGCTGCTTTATGTTGCTATTGTAGCAATAGAAGTTGCTAGAAGCTGCTATATGTTGCCATTGTAGCAATAGAAGTTGCTATATGTTGCTGTTGTAGTAATAGAAGTTGCTTTATGTTGCCATTGTAGCAATAGAAGCTGCTATATGTTGCTGTTGTAGCAATAGAAGTTGCTTTATGTTGCTGTTGTAGCAATAGAAACTGTAGTGTGTTGCAGCAATAGAAGCTGCTATATGTTGCTGTTGTAGTAATAGAAGCTGCTATATGTTGCTGTTGTAGCAATAGAAGCTGCTTTATGTTGCTGTTGTAGCAATAGAAACTGCTATTTGTTGTTGTTGTAGCAATAGTAACTGCTATATGTTGCTGTTGTAGCAATAGAAACTGTAGTGTGTTGCAGGAATAGAAGCTGCTATATGTTACTATTGTAGCAATAGAAGCTGCTATATGTTGCTGTTGTAGTAATAGAAGCTGGTATATGTTGCTATTGTAGCAATGGAAGCTGCTATATGTTGCTATTGTAGCAATAGAAGCTGCTATATGTTGCTGTTGTAACAATAGAAGCTGCTTTATGTTGCTGTTGTAGCAATAGAAGCTGCTTTATGTTGCTGTTGTAACAATAGAAGCTGCTTTATGTTGCTGTTGTAGCAATAGAAGCTGCTATATGTTGCTGTTGTAGTAATAGAGACTGCTTTATGTTGCTGTTGTAGCAATAGAAGCTGCTATATGTTGCTGTTGTAGCAATAGAAACTGTAGTGTGTTGCAGCAATAGAAGCTGCTTTATGTTGCTGTTGTAGCAATAGAAGCTGCTTTATGTTGCTGTTGTAGTAATAGAAGCTGCTATATGTTGCTGTTGTAGCAATAGAAGCTGCTATATGTTGCTGTTGTAGCAATAGAAGCTGCTATATGTTGCTGTTGTAGCAATAGGAACTGTAGTGTGTTGCAGCAATAGAAGCGCAGATTGTTGCTGTTGTAATAATAGAAGACTGACTTCAGAGTGAGAGGTGTCGTTCTGATCAGTACAACATTATATTAATTAAAATGCCGACGTTTTGCAACTTGTGTTATCACCGAGACACGTCACTGCACACGAGTGTAGTCCCGCTACGACACTCTGTGCAACGATGACCCAGACGTGTTCTACTCCACCGTTGCCATGTGTTGTACAGCTGTTGTGCAGTGTACGCAACTCTCGGTGGTTGGAGATGTGCTGGGTGCAGATGTACTGGTGCTGAGCCTGTATGTGCAGACTGTGCAGTATTGTACACAGATGATTGTTTTCCTGAATCGATATGTACATACATACATTCACCGCAAACTGCTGCATGTATATCTCTCCCTTTCATCAAGTATTAGCAGGTACACAATGTCCAGGAATCTGTGTAGTGGGACACGGGTGTTATAATCGTGTTCTACCAGGTTATTTTACAGTATGTGCCTCCACCCTACCTGCAAACCCCCGTTACCTGCATCGCCTCGTCATTTCATCACCTGGAATACATTCACCAACTAACTCAATCTGGCGTGTTGAAATCAGATCACTCCACTAAATAGGTTCCTACCTATCCCCCCTTGGTTTAAGTAAGTACTATAATCTGTTTACACAATTACTCAATTCATACAGGATTGCTTGATATTTCTCCACTATTTTTACCACTGAATAGAATGACATTGTACATTTATCAACATGCAAGAACAATAATGGAGTGATTGTAATATTTATAAGATCAAGCTGGGCCCTGTCATGGCGATATTGTACAATATCGTATCTCAGTGAGTGATTGAGTGAGTATGGTTTTATGCCGTTTTTAGCAATATTCCAGCAATATCACAGCGGGGGACACCAGAAACTGGGTTCACACATTGTACCCTTGTGGGGATTCTAACCCGGGACTTCGGCGTCACGAGCGGACAGTTTAACCACTAGGCTACACCACCGCCCATATCGTATCTCACCTGCAGTGAACATGTCCATAGTGTAGGCGTATCTCACCTGTAGTGAACATGTCCATAGTGTAGGCGTATCTCACCTGTAGTGAGCATGTCCATAGTGAAGGCGTATCTCACCTTCAGTGAACATGTCCATAGTGTAGGCGTATCTCACCTTCAGTGAACATGTCCATAATGTAAGCGTATCTCACCTGTAGTGAACATGTCCATAGTGTAGGCGTATCTCACCTGCAGTGAACGTGTCCATAGTGTAGGCGTATCTCACCTGTAGTGGACATGTCCATAGTGTAGGCGTATCTCACCTGCAGTGAACGTGTCCATAGTGTAGGCGTATCTCACATGCAGTGAACATGTCCATAGTGAAGGGGTATCTTACCTGTAGCGAACATGTCCATAGTGTAGGCGTATCTCACCTATAGTGAACATGTCCATAGTGTAGGCGTATCTCACCTATTGTGAGCATGTCCATAGTGTAGGCGTATCTCACATGCAGTGAACATGTCCATAGGACAGACGTATCTGAACTGTAATGAACATGTTCCTAGAGTAGGCGTATCTCACATGTAGTGAACATGTACTGTGGAATCACGATGTACATAGTGTGGTAACAGATTTAAATGTATGTGAAACTCCGTGTCCTGATGCTTCTCTATGTATATATTCCGTCTTTCTAACAATCTTCAATTCTGATGTTATATAATGCTAATATTGTATATATTAGAGCTACGTATATTGGAAACACATGCCCAGTGTTTGTGAACTGATCTGTCAGTCTGTCATGGTAGTGTATTTCAGTTGTTCGTGAGGGTACACGGCATATTAATAAGCCCCAAGTTTCTGCTGTTTCACCCTGTTCAGAACGGAACATTTTAATGGCAACCAGTGAGGTATGTATCGAGTTCAGCCAGCTATGTTCAGTCCTCGCGTGCATTTGTTAAGAAAAAGCACAAAGTAAAACACATTCGGTAATAAACAGTTTAATCCATCTCTGAAACTCTCACAAAATCAGCCACTCGTCAGATATCGCATTCCAAACTAAACATTTGCATATACATAAACAACATCGCACCTGGCGATTAATATCACTGTGTAATGCGGTAACAAACTCCCTTGTTACAAAATAGAGGATTTGAATGAGGTACAGGTATTGTAAACAGCAGCACAACTAACTACAAAAGTCTCTAGTCATTACTGAGATCGGCCAAGAAATGGCGATTGTCGAGGTTGTATATCATGGAGCTTTCTTCTCCCGGTAGCTCAGACTCAAGGTCGTGTGAGAGCAGGTTCACCGATGTTTCGACAGGAAGGAATTTCTTAGTGTCATCCTGAAAGAAGTCATAGAAGCTCTCATCCTCTGACGAGTGACTTGAGATCCCCGGGGAAAATGAAGCAGATCGGACATTCTGGGGAGGTGTCACGTGACCTTTATGACATGCGCGTGTCAGCATGTGGTGTACAAGCATGGCCTCCAGGCGGCGCTTCTCCTCTCGTAGTTCAGACACTTCTTCCTCCAGTTTTTGTCGCTTGTTGTTTTGCTCTGAGAATAACTGAAAAGACAATACCGCATCATATTTGTGTCAAAGAGATGGGATTTCACGACTAGGCTTAAACCAGTTTATGGTTTAAAACGTTTTCAAGGATGATATACAGAATTCAGAGACATCCTGGGTGACATAAAAACCGTATATTTTATGACGTTTTTCGATCACTTTTTCATTTACAAGCTGGTAATCACAGTCGGGACGTTTCTTGATTCGAACCCATGGCCATCGTATCCTGTTGACTGTAAGGGGCGCAACTCTGCACATCGGATTTCTGCGCTTCATGCATTTGGTTCATCAATATTATCCTGATAAGTATCGGTGCGATCGCGATTCTAAGGCAAAGTGTCGATATGATGCTTGTGAGAGAGAGAGAGTGTGTTTTGGAAAGTGGAGTACCTGAAGGAATTTGTCCTGTTCCTGTCGTTTCTTCTTCCGACATCTTTGTGCTGCCACGCGGTTCTGTGCACGTCTCCGTTCCTGCTTCGCCACCTCGTCGGCTGTCAACTGCAGACAGACACCGGGAGTGAGTCGGTGGGTTGGTGCAAGGTATGAGGGTGGGAGGATGCAAGGGGGTGCGGTAGTGACGGAGTGGGGACATGGGGTACATGGTACAAATAGACGGCTTAACATAATGAGAACAGTCAGTGATGAGGCAGTTATAGCGTGTCAGCTTGAAGTCTACGATGAGCTCCGTACGTAGGGACACTACTCTTCTCATTGTGACAGATAAGGGACACTACTCTTCTCATTGTGACAGATAAGGGACACTACTCTTCTCATTGTGACAGATAAGGGACACTACTCTTCTCATTGTGACAGATAAGGGACACTACTCTTCTCATTGTGACAGATAAAGGGACTCTTCTCATTGTGACTCTACTCTTCTCATTGTGGCAGATAAGGGACACTACTCTTCTCACTGTGACAGATAAGGGACACTACTCTTCTCATTGTGACAGATAAGGGACACTACTCTTCTCATTGTGACAGATAAGGGACACTACTCTTCTCATTGTGACAGATAAGGGACTCTACTCTTCTCATTGTGGCAGATAAGGGACACTACTCTTCTCACTGTGACAGATAAGGGACACTACTCTTCTCATTGTGACAGATAAGGGACACTACTCTTCTCATTGTGACAGATAAAGGACACTACTCTTCACTTTGGATCTGGATTCAACACGCCAGTTAGTCGTGAGAGAAATAAATACACGTACATGATTTTAAAAAGCAGCAGACCTAGTTTGCAGACTATTCAAGTGTTCTCTAAGAATGAAAATAAAAATTGTAATAGCAACATATCACATCTGATGCGACCATCACATCTGATGCGACCATTGATACATCGTAGTAGAGTAGCAGTACATCGTGGTAGTAGTAGTAGTAGTAGTAGTAGTAGCAGTGCAGTAGTAGTAGTAGTAGCAGTAGTAGTAGCAGTAGCAGTAGTAGAGTAGTAGTAGTAGTAGTAGTAGTAGTAGTAGTAGTAGTAGTAGTAGTAGCAGTAGCAGTAGCAGTAGTAGTAGTAGTAGTAGTAGTAGTAGTAGTAGTAGTAGTAGTAGTAGTAGTAGTAGCAGTAGGAGGAGGACTATGGGGGCCTCCCAGCAACCTGTACTGGTCGGAATGGTGCTCCAAACATGGTGTTCATGTGACTTTGTTAATATCGTGTGATCGCACCCCTACATCGTGTGTCATATATCGCAGGGCCGCCGTCACACAGTCAGAACATGGCTGCATGCAGCGCTGGAACACGTACACGCACGGCATTGGTATTGTAATTACCATAGCGACTATATAAGTAAATATTTACACTACAACTGCCTCATGTCGATAGCGGGCTATTGTACTGGCGATAAAATCATTCTCTGTTGTCTCTTTATCATTTCTAATCCTGACCGACATCCAGTCAACTCAAAGAGAAAACCTCTCAAGTGTCCTTCCACGGAAGAATGAGAGGTATTCTTGTTGACGGAGTCTCTCTGTTCCAATTCCGTGTGTATGTCTTATTTCTGACTTGTATGTTAATTTATTTATAAATGGGGAGGAATAACGCTGGCAATCAACCGCGGTCCAGTGGAGCGTAGCCAGGGTGTACTGGTGATGCTGATGAACAGTCGTTTGAAATGGACAAAGGTTTCATTACCATGCATTGATGGAATAGATACAGTCAGTCTCTTGTCAAAGGATATGTGAATTATTTACAAATTGTTAATAACACACAAATTAATTTCCCTCAAACAATAGTTATATCCGCGTTTCTTATGTGCGTTGATTGTGTTTTAATAATCTATTATTTTGTGGGTTATTTTTATTCATAAATGTAAAACAACTACGACGAAGAACACTTTGTTGTTTAAAAGCTTAATTTTATTATTTAAGGCTGAAAGACTTCTCCAAGATACGAATGTAAGATAACGAGGCAGTGCCTACTACTCTTGCTACTACTGCTACTACTACTACTACTACTACTACTACTACTACTACTACTACTACTACTGCTGCTGCTGCTGCTGCTGCTGCTACTGCTGCTGTTTAGCATTACTACTATTATTTTTCCGACTGCTCTGAAATTCAAAAGGAAAGAAAAAGAGTCATCGCACCTCGTACACCTGCGAGTGTGTCTCCTCGTGGGTTATCTCCCCTTGACCGCTTGACAGTCGCCTCAACATTATCGCTGCTCTCAGTTCTTCCTTGAGGATGGGAGTAACTTGATGCATGCGACACGCCTCGTTCACTGCTTGCTGCAGCCGTGGGTCGGGTTTGGCTTGACCGGGATGAGGCAGATTGGCTGTCAGAATGTCATGGGTGTGGTCAATCTGGGTCCGTGTGTCCGAGTCGGTCATCGTGATCGCGTGTTCCTGAAAACATAGATGTGAATAAGATACCGGTGAAGGCGTTATAAGTAAACACGTGACGTCACGTCATCTCGAATTAACTAAACATTCAAGGGCTGGATAAAAGTAGAAAGTTCACACCGGATCACAGATAGGAGGAATGTGTTTAGTTCACACACATTGTCATCTCAATATGTTGTTTCTCGTGATCTTGCCGTGTCACGCCCATATATATGCTAATGACCTGACTGTATGCTAATGACCTGACTGTATGCTAATGACCTGACTGTATGCTAATGATCTGGCCGTACGCTAACGAATGAACGTACTTATTTTACAACAAATACCCTTTTTCACGACTGAAATTATGATAAATATATCTCAGTTGCCCGGTATGTGTCTCACACTTGCAAAGTATCCCTTGATGATATACGTCCAGTGTTATCCTACAGCGCCGACTGCGAGTTTCGCTGGAGTCAAGACGGTATTTCGTAATTGCATTGAAAAACATTTGTACTTGCATAATTTTTAATCCAACAAGAAGACCGAGTTTTGTCAAATTTGTTTCTTATTACCCGAGGGATGATGTCTTAATTCTAGGGTACCACAAGCCTCAAAGGTCCATCTTGGAGAGAAAACCAAGCCCTGACTGAACTCACAATCAAACCGATTCCACAAAGGCCAAGTAAAACTTGTCACATACATCACAGTAGACTAACAACGTGGCCCTGAAATGAACATATTTTACAGAAAAAACCAGTTCACAATAAAAAAATAATATAATGAAAAGTAGCCCTGAGACTTTCTTAATTTTCAGAAACTGTGAAAATCTAGACTTGACACACATTCTAGACTTCCATGGGTTCTCTTGGATATGTTTGTTTCAAGGTCCGTCTGTATGACAGGCTAACAGTACAGTTGTAGAAGTCGAAATAAAACATCACAATCAAATTACTACCTACAATGAAACAAATTGTTGATGCACTTACAAATCATTTCAAACATATAATGAAAGGAGACCACGGAACATGCACTATTATAATCCATTTGAAGCATATCGTCAATAAACGACGTGGTAGCTACTGACAGACAATATGTAGCAGGTGAAGCTAGTGGGTTGTAAAACATCGGCCTGACAAGCTGTGGTGGTACTGAAAGCAATGTACATAATGATACATATATCGGCGTTGCTCGAGTGCACAACGATAATCATATAACCAACAGAGGTATTATCTTCTCATTTTCAATTCAAATTGTAACCCAATCTTTTCTGCTTATTAAAAAAAATATGTAGAGTATTAAATATGTGGAGAAGACCATCAGGTCACCGAGTACATTGACTCGGGTGTTTACTGCCGTCTCCACCTGTAAACACACACCTAATACGGACATCACAAGAGGCTGGTGTATCAAGAACACACATGGAACTGGTTTGTAGTTTAAAATAATACTTGAAATAATCAAATACAATAAATAAATAAATAAAATGGAGTTGAGACTAAGGACTAGGTGAATGTGTGAAGGTAACATCACATCATAGGGGACGCAATGCATGTGCTATTACACTGGCCAATATACCAAGAACAAAGAGATGTCGTTTACAACAGATGTATTTTAGCTTGTCCTGACTGTTTAAACCTCTATATGATATCAAGAACGTTGGTTTTATACTCTCCTCGTCTGAGGTGATTTTTACAGCGGCCAAGAGCTGCAAAAATATTTTAGATCTTCGCACTTCCATTTTATATCATGTTTAACTTGTGATAATATCTTTTCATAACTATTTACATCTTTTGTACCTTTTAATCTTTATGTATTTATATAATGTATATTTTCATGTATTTTATATTTATAAGTATACACTTCTTTTAAAGTAATCATATGTTCTTAGTTTTATTTACATCTTGTAACTACTCTCTCATAACCCTGTACAGAGTGGCTTATCTGTTTATACTGTTTATATCTTAGTTCATGGACCTATATGCAATGTAATGTTGAGGCGAGACTGAAAAAGATAATCTGTCTGTCTGTAATCATATGAAATGGTCTCGAGGAACGTTGTCGACGGTACCTCCGACGTTATGAGGGTGTCCTTATGATTACTGCTATAGCTGTATAGGAGTGGACATCGCCGGGCCTCTCTCCGTCTGGTTAAATGATTAGCTTAAAACTGGAAAACGATAAATTCCTAGAGTTGAATATTTATATGAGATCTGTTCGACCACGGGGACATCTGATTGAAGAACACGCCCAAGTATCGTTTCTTTGAAAGAATTAGTAAAGTGCAGAGAAGAAAAAAATTCACAATGTTTCAGTCAGTGTCTACGTGTAAGAAACTGCAGATTCATATATTATATAAACCCGTCTTTATGCTGCACAGATATTTGTTTCATTATATCTTTTGTCCATAAATGCACAGGCTTACATCCAGTTTCTCACCTTTAAAACAAACTAATGTCAGGCATGAATGAATGACCGAGTTAGAGAATGAAACTGATAAATCGTTTACAAAAGGGATAAAAAAATAATTTAAATTAAAAACACTTGCCAGTTATAGACTTCCTACTATATCATCTCTCCGTGGATGATAGATTCATCCATATAATGTCCCTTGATTTGTCAGAACCACATCGTGTTCGAGGGTGTCACAACAGAAGTAAACCTGAAGTATGGGAAATATTGTTCCAAACAGCGTTAAACCCAACTCACTCACTCTATCGCAGCGCTCAGCAACCCATGTCGGTTTTCACATTTACAAAGTTGCATTACTGCAACATCCTTGGCCTTACACAACATATTCGTATTTTGACGCGAACACAAGTCTCGTGAATATATGGCCACTGAGATAGATGAATGATCGGGAACTGTGATAAATATATGTGCTAGCAACTTGCATAGTCCCTCATGAACTTACAAGGCTATATATGTATGTACATCTGTCAATGTGGTTACGTTGTCATTGGAACTATAAATATACTACACCAACTGCGGACTTATTAATGTAGACAACAAAAGCCAACTGCACCGTGTTCTACATGAATTCAAATAAATCATTATTAACATACACTAACGCATTCTCCATTTAATACAGCAAGGTCATTCAGTGCATTTCATCATCCTCCGCCGGGGTGAGCGAGTACATTACGATCGCCCGGGATTTGCTTAATTAATGTAATTTGTGTAGAAAAGATCAGCCCAACAGTGTATCCAGTCAGTTGTGGGCACGCACCGATAGACTGTACCCTACGACCAAAGTGTACTGCCTAAATATTATGTGATTATCTATTCATATATGGTTGTTTACGACAGAGCGTATCGACATGTTCTGTTGCATGAAGCAATACGCCCATAGACAACAGCTGATCCAGCGGGAGCCACTTCGGGCATAGAGACAAGGGTTCTGCGCCTCAACATATATATCCCTTGGAACCTTACAATATGGGGCAATACTCGTAATTATTCCATTCCACTTGTACTGAAACACATTAATCATCATAACAACAGTTGTATTTGTGGCGAGTTCACTGTTTGCACTGGCTGGAACAGTTTCTGCGTAAATGCGTAGGGGCCATCGGAGCTGTTGTCATATCTCTGTCATCACTCTGACCCATATCCATCATTGTAAACTAGAAATCTGTTAAACGTGCATATCAAATTCATATTTCGAGCATCGACTGTGAATCAAATATTCTATTGCGCAGCGAAGCATTTAATATCGTGATCCTACAGAGAAATAACGATGAAGCGTGTCATTAAGTTGTGTGGCTGTATCGGTTTATAGTCAATATACAGGCGGAATGGACTGTCATGTTGTGTATATCTCTAAATTACATATATGGTCACACACAGCTTTATACTCCCGCCCGACTAACCCACTGACCCACTAAATGGGCGGGACATCAATAATATTGTATTCCTTTCATGAACAAGGTAATATCTGATAAATGGTTGTTTTAACGGCTTCGCGCTTTATTGACAAGAACACCGATTTAACCCTTAACCGGCTTTTAGCCGTGGGATTAGCCCTGAAAGTAACGATATTAATGTACATAACAGGTATATGTCGCGTGGACCAGGCCAGCTCGGGCACCGTGTGTAACATTTATAGTTTAATAATTCACGTAGTCACGGTCATAATCTAGAGAATACACACAAAACAAGCAAATATTCTTTAGATGTACAAACTGAATCTGCACCTGAGCATACACACAAGTGTTTGGGAAAAAAATTTTAAATAAGATCTTCTTTGAGTCAATACTAATACCATTTCAAAAGTCGCAATTGCATATGTAATGAACAAGACATGATAATGATAAAACATTGCAAGGGGTTTGGTTGGGGGTATGTCTTTTTTGTTGAAAGAATTGAGCTGACATTTTCATTAAAAATATCCACTACATATCTGTGATACATAACTTTGTTTAGAATATTTTCTAAAACATTATCACACCGGGAAGGTTTTTAAAAAAATTCAGATATCATGTGGATTCTGTTTTCTTCCTGTTTTCAACATTTCACTGTCGTCAACGTCGTCCAACATTCGCGTGGAATTAAGACTTAAACCACTTAGTGAATACTTCATATGATAAACGCAATGAATAAAATGCCATATTCCTTGTCAGCCAGAGCGTCACACATTTCATGTACCGTTACAGAACAAATCAAAGATTGATCAAATGTTATACAGTTTAGCCTGGGTCTTCTGTTCCTACAGTAAGACCTTTCATTAATTTCATTAGAATCATAATAATACAATTTAACAGAATTTAAATTAAGTCGGACACCCGTTTTCGTTTAGACGATAGACCTGTAAAACCTATCCAGTAAAACCAGTATGACGTATGAAATATCGTAAAACCAGTATGTAGCGTAAAATGTGAAATATAACAGTAAAACCAGTATGTAGACTGTGAAATATAACAGTAAAACCAGTATGTAGACGTAAAATGTGAAATATAACAGTAAAACCAGTATGTAGACGTAAAATGTGAAATATAACAGTAAAACCAGTATGTAGACGTAAAATGTGAAATATAACAGTAAAACCAGTATGTAGACGTAAAATGTGAAATATAACAGTAAAAAATATAATAGTAAAACCAGTATGTAGACGTAAAATGTGAAATGTTGATGTGACAACAACAAAAAAAAAAGAAAAAAAAGAAAAGAAACCCAACTGTGACCATGACGATGAGAGTCCCCATGAACCCGTCTCAAGGCAACACACAGCAATAGTGTATCTGAAACAGGGGCCGGCAGTTCCCTATCGGAAAGGGGGGTCGAAACAAAAAAAAAAAAAAGAGCTAAAACATCACATAACGGCATCGGGCACAGAAAGGTTGGAGTCATTGTAAACAGTAACCCCTTCTGACTACAGACTCTGGCAATAGCGGACACGCATGACTTGTTCTTCTGTCTTACCCTCGCAGGTGAAACAAACCACACCTGTTTGTTATATTTAATACTGTGTTATAGAAGGTAAACTACACAATTGCACCACATTAACACGTTCGGCAAGAAGCTGTGTGGCTGTCATGGTTAGCTTGTCTGTGGCCGTGGTTTTATCGTTCTGTACCCAGCCATCTGGTTATCTCACTTCTCATCGGATAATTTAAACCTACGCAAAAAACTTTCCAAACTGAGTCACCTGGTTCGGAGGTTGTAACTGACCTGGAGTTTATATTGTAACTCCCACGTTTGAAGTATCCCAGATGTGTCATGTGTTGACAGCTATGTCTCAGGCAGTCCCGCCCCCTGTCCGTTACGCCTGATCGGCTGTATCATCACTCAAGCATATCGATTAAAATCGTTTTAGCTTTATAATTGACACAGGGTCAAGTGATGCATATATCTGCCAGTCACTAGTGACTATATGTGATAACACTCGACACCCTCAGAGTATGAAACCCAGTTATCTGTCATTACTTGTAATAATCAGGATTAGCTACTAATTATTAATGTTCAGAATTATACATCATCATAATATATCATGGTGCACGGTAGTTTTTAGTTAGGGGTGGAGTTGGAGTAAAATTCTAACATGCACAAAAATGCCTTTTGTCTCAAACAGAAACATATCATATCACCATATTCTCAATACATGTTTAGATATCTATTTATATTATTGAGTGGGGAGGGCACAGTTAATTTTTCCTGAATATCCCGCATTTCCAGGTTTGGGATCATTGTTGGCCAAAACCCCAGAGCAAATTTGTTTACAGGACTATGGGCAACATGTCAACAATTTAGGGTATAAGATTAGGCGGAATATCGAATGAGCGAGCCCTAACGCCTCGCTTCAGATCTGCATAACGGCAGACGAACTGGTTGAATGCCGGGTGTTGACAGATAACTGGGTTGACTGCAGGTGTCGGGAGATGACAGATAACTGGGTTGACTGCAGGTGTCGGGAAATGACAGATAACTGGGTTGACTGCAGGTGTGGAGTGTTCTCCCAATATAATTATGTAGTTGTAAGTCAGGCTGAGGTTACACCTGTCACACAAGGGCATGCACTTACTGTCAGGAATGCACACACAAAGTGCAGGAACATGAAAACCACCTGTAGCCGGCTTAGATCTGCCCCCTTGGCAGCACGGTGTGTATACATAGTGCTGCACCCGTGTACTACAGTGACGGTAAGTGGACTACAAAAAATACTTGTCCAGCGTCACGGAAACTAAAACAAAACATAAAGTCAAACCCAATGCTCATCTTCCATTGCTTTCATAATTGGGACCAGGCCAAGTTGTGTGTCCTTAACACGGATATTATTTCATAGAAGTATTTAGTTAGGATCGGCTTCTGCGTAAATACGTTCTTCCGATAAGGTGAATTTCAAATAAACCTGTTGCGACAGTTGGCAGTATATGGGCCAAGTGCGGCTGTTCAGACGAAACTGTAGCCTGTAATGATCAGGTCTGGCAAGTTTTTAAACGGATGGATATCATAATATATGTTGAGGAATATACATCATCATAATATATAAGCGAGTGTAAGACTCGCGACGGGGCACTGTGGAGCTTTGTTTTTGTTAAGTTCAAACAATTATATTTACACTGTAAAGACGTGCTATCTGTGATTTTACTGTTTATGAATACCAGCGATATCAGTGTCAATATCAGTGTAGCATCTGGCCCAGCACCAGACCACACCACCACAGAGACCTTTCGCTTCTATACTGCATATGACGTCAATACCATTGTTAATTTCAATCATAACAGGAAAAAGACACTGTGATGTCAAACAATGATTATTGTATCGGTAGATGTGATGAAAACAATGAACCTTTATCGTCTTGATTGACAGTAATGGACATAAGTAATCAATTTCAAACCGCGCCTTGTATCTCGAGCCGTGTAAAGACTCGGCACTGGTATACATTCATGGCCAGCGGAGATGTATATGCTTTACAGAGGTCGAGGAGTACAAGCGAGCGGCCCTGAGCTGTTCGGAAAACATCATCAGTGACGAATATGCAAATTGGAGCTAATGCGCACGTTTGTTACCTTATTTTCATCCATAAATGTCAGATCATTTGCCAACACCTTCATGTCCGATTTTTTTCATAATTATGTTCATATATTATGTTTAACATTTCGCCCATGACGTAATTTGGTCTAGATTTGAACAAAAACACAATTGTTTTATGAATATAAGACAACATTTATACATTTCGCATTACAAAAAGTTACCCAGCGCCTTTTGTCGGTGTACAGCATATATACTCCATGCCCTACTTACATGAGGCGACAGCGGACAAAGTGGCTGGCAATATGCCATCTTTGTTCCTTTCAAAACAGAAATCGACACCGGCTATGAACTCTTGAAATATATACATGTCTTTTCAAATTCTATTGTTTATTACTTTTTGACAGATGTGTAAGGGTAATTAGTGAGTAATGTCCGTGTTTGTGTGGATGTAAGCGTGTTCTGCTACATCACTGTGCAGCGATAGTGGTGACCGGTGGTATGACTCACCAGTGGAAATTGACATGCAAGTTGGTGAAATGTACATACATGTGTGTATGCCATAGCTGTGAAGCATGACTGATTGCTGGTGAAGACACCGCTACTACATGTGTTTACCTTGCACAGATATAGACATGCTTCAAGCAAATCATAACAACGCCGCATAAGAAAGCAGAGAAATAGTATTTAGTTGGTATAGACAAACGGTGGTGTCAACTTGCATATGAATACATTGTTTATAAAATTCATTACGATGAGTATTTATATTATAAATATTGCTATGAAACGGTATGTGGCGAATGAATGTAACGTTGAATATAACAGATAAACAATGTCTCGACATGCAATAACCTCTCCCAGACAGTCGTTTGACACGCTTTTCAGCGAGAACAAACAGACCAATCCATAACCAACAAACGTCAGCTCATTGAATAACGTTTAGTGACATTGTCACGCCATCCACTGGGCTAGGTGGTCCATCTGAAAGTGACAAGGGGTATATGCAATAGATCACAGAGGCACGAATGTACTCTCAAAAAGCAAGCACCTGCAGTCTAACATTATTCATATTGAGGCTCAATTAACACAAGAGAAATGAGTTTACAAT